TTCCTGCTGTTACCGATGGCCTCCGAGAGGGTCGTAGACCCTGGTCTGGGGAGCCCCACGTACGGGACAAGTGTGGCTCTCAGCAATAACGATAACCGCGGTGACCGGCATTAACCGAGGGCCCCCGTGTACTCCATAAGCTTTCCTGCGCGTGTCATTAATGCTGTTTGCGAATAATGACAGTTTTATGTCACTTCTGGGGGTTCTACCATCTTTCTGTTTATTGCCTTCTAGAACCATCTAACAAAATGTCGAATAGAATTGGTGATGATAAATTGAACTTCAAGAAAATTAAAATTTTCTCTTCATCAAAAGATAGCTTTCAAAAAATGAACAGGCGAGCCATAGGTTGGGCGGAGATGCTTGCAGCACACAGAGCTGGAAAGGGGGTTGTGTCCGGAATGTGTAAAGACTCCTACAAAGCAACACTCCAAGGATGAACAGCCCAGCGCAATATGAACAAAAGGCTTGAGCAGCGTACGTGAGTGGCCGCATGAAAAGGCACTCGCAACCATGAGTCGTCACCGAAATGCAGACCAAGCCGTAAGGAGCTGTGCTTCCCACTCACTGGCACGCGTGGGGTGTAAACAGACAGCCACTTGAGAGAACTCTGCAGTTTCTGCGTGAATTAAACGTGCATCTTTCCTGCGATTTAGAAATTCCACTGCCGGACACTTACCCGAGAGGAAGGTACATGCACGTCCATCCAAAGACTTGGAGAGATGCTCGCAGCCGCTCGGACCGGAAGCCCCGGAAGCCCCGTCACCGGGACGTGGGAAGCAAGCGGCATCACGCTCGCCCAGTGGGACACGGCTCGGTGATGATGTCAGCGGCCCGCCGCACGTGGGCGAACCCCCGAACCCGCAGGAGGCGATGCCAGACGCAGGAGGCCACTGGCCGGGCGGGTCCGTTCACGTGAGTCCACAGCAGGAGGAATCGATCGGTCCAGGGGGGTGGAGGTTAGGGGTGAAGCGAAGCATGTCCTGTGACTTGTTCGGTGTGGTGTTACGTGGGTGCAAACCAGTGAGAAAACACACTGAACTGATTTATAAGATCTGCGTTTTATTTCATAGTTTTTGGAGAAGCGGAGAAGGGGCATCGGCGCGCGAGTTCTTGCTCCGCCTCCGTGGGCTCGTCCCCTCTCCCTTGAGTTCGGCTGAGGCCGCCTTTCTTTCTGTTGCCCCGAAAGCCAGCACGGCCTTGCGCCATGAAAAGGCCCCGGACCAGCTTCCCGTAACCCGACGGTGACCTTGGCAAGCTTTTGGAACCACAGTTTCCGCTGATGCTTCACATATTTCACGGACATAGTGGGGTGGCTTTTGTACACACGTCGATTCAAACACGCACATTGGGTTGGGCCTTCGGAATCCATGGATTACACCCCGAAGCAGCCTCGGGCCCGTGGGCCAGATGGAGAAGAAACTAACTCCCTTTCATCTTATGCACCTTTTCCTATTTTCACAGGGTACGAATTCATTGTAGAGAAAGGTGCACAAGAGCGCACACCGGAGCATGTGGGGCCACCTCTGAGCAGCTCCTGCTGCCTGCGAAGGGCCGTCCGGGCCCTCGACTGTGCGCGTATTTTTCCCTAAAAATTTTGATCATATCACACATACTACGTCAGTGACTTTCCATTTCACATAGAGTGAAAAAATGTCCCATGTGATTAAATATTATTGTACAACGCGAATTTTCATTGCTGTCTGGTATTCCCTCATGTAAAGGTATCGAAATTCGTTAAATGAAGTCTGTTACTGGGGAAGTGTGTTTCCAGTTTAGATAAAATTTTGCATGTATGGGTGCATATACATTTTTCTGACAAGAAAGTCATAGCATTCATTAGAATCTCAAGAAGATTTGTCCCTGGAAAAAGCCAAAGTCATTATTATTATTACATTAGAATCTCAAGAAGATTTGTCCCTGGAAAAAGGCAAAGTCATTATTATTATTATTATTGTTTTTAAGCCTTCAGCACCTGGTCTTCCTAGGTGGTCTCTCATCCAAGTACTAACCAGGCCCGACCCTGCTGAGCTTCTGAGATCAGACGGGGCCGTAGACCGAGGTCATTACTGAGCGTGGACCTGTTTGTGCGGGTCTCTATGTCTTTAGGGTTAATTTGCAGACGTAAACTCCTATCGACGGGGAGGCACGTGTTTAAGGC